AAACGTCAGCTCAACTCATATCATTGTGGGAAAATTGTACTACCAGTCCTTCATCACCTTACACTTTCATACGAATATGAGTAAATAGTAGTCTCAAAAACCCATTCAAATAAGTTAAAGGCTCACATGTTTCGTGTCGAGGTCAGGCGTGGCACGAAGACCAATCATGCCTCCGATGGCGTCCGCGGCTTGCACCTGCCGATGGAGGCTGGCCAGTGGGTGGTAGCCGTTGACCATCCCCGAAGGCTCTCTGGGCTCGAGGGGAGTGAAGAGGCCACGCGCCCAACTCGCCGTCTGGTCGTCGCAGGTCAGACTGAGCTCGGCGTCGAGTCGCGACGCGGCCTCCGCGAGCCGCGGGAGCAGCGGCAGTTGCAGCATTCCTTGCCCCAGAGCCGGACTCGGAGCTTGATTCTCCAAGACGGTGACCGGCTCCGCGGTGCGGGCTCGTTTCACTTTGGCCGCCGATTGGGCCTCCGAGCGATCGGCGCCGGTCCGGCTGAAGAGAGACCGCCTTTCGGCCGTCGGCGTTGGTGGCGTCTCTGGTCGACGTCCGTCACCGGCTTGGGCGGCTCGGCTTTCGGGCTCCGGTTTCACGAGTCCCGGCGCCAACTCGGCCCGGCTCGGCTCCGGACTGGTGCGTTTCTCCCTCTCCATCCGGGCCGAGAGAAGGTTGGAGCACCGAGGCGTCGGGAGACCAGCCCCCAGAACAGCTGCAGCCGCGTAGGCTGCAGCAGCTGCGGCCGCCGCGGCCGCAGCCGCCATCGCGTTGGCGTCGACGGAGGCGGCCGAGCAAATTGGGCCGAACGAGTTGGGACTCGAGTCGGCCGACTTGAAAGCCGCCGAACCGGAGCCCGCAGCCACCGAGGCACTCGACGGACTCGTGCGACCCGAGGCGAAGTAGAGCGGAGTCGTGGTCGGTCCGGCCGCGGTATGCGGGTCCGACTTGAAGCGGCGTTTCCGGCGCAGAAACGAGCCGTTGTCAAACATGCTGTGTGCGCCCGGATGCAGAGTCCAATAGGCCCCTTTGCCGGGCTTCTTGTCGTCCCGAGGAACCTTAACGAAGCAGTCGTTCAGACTAAGATTGTGCCGAATCGAGTTCTGCCAGCCCTGTTTATTCTCACGGTAATAGGGGAACCTGGAGACAAACGGATAGCACACGATGGGGGGGGAGTAAGAGAAAAGTTGGAATGTCAAAAGTCGACAAATCATGCAAATAGACACGAGAATGCAGAAAACAGTCAAAGTCGGCTAAGGCGAGTTACGACTAATAGTTGAGTTTCTCCCACAGCCATTGAATTTCATTCAGCCATACCTCCCAAATGGCCATCTAATCCAGTCTGGAAGGCATTTTCATCAGCACCACCAGCCAAATTTGACATCGAATCTTGACTATCGTGTAGACGTTACCACACGACCACACAACTACGGCTGCCACCAGGTCGCAGATAAACTTCTACACCTAAGGCGAGCTCACACTTTGATGTGAGATTGCCGCTTTAGTAAACGACGTTATTTAATGTACAGTTAAGTAGCTTTGCCTCAGCCCTTCATTCTTCAATAAACAGTTATTTTCAAGAGGATTGCCAAGCTCAGAACGTCGCTCTGGCCTATGGTCCACAGAAACTGGCCCGTGGCTGCTTGAATGAAGGATAACTTCTTGCCACTCGATGCGTATGACATGGCTTTCAATCCTGTTGTGCGTGATGATGATGTTCATATTACACTGGGATCTTTTTAAGAGGTAAAGCGTCACTTTTCGCAGACTGGGCTAGCTATAATAGTAATCTTCGTTGCGCCCGATGGATAGCTTTATTAACTCCTATTTTTTATTACATTGCCGATTAAATAAAGTTGTATAGAAATTGTTTGACCTTATTTTCGCAACCCGGTCATATCAGTAGGAAGACTTAGAGGAACGCACCTTTTACGGAGTCCATTGTATGCATTTTCATTTCCAGAGTAGGACCGTGGACGTGGCACATTCCCAGACGTTTCGCCGGCATCGTCAGTGAGTCTCG